TCTAGTCTTTGTCTTATTGGAAAAACTTTGTCTTATTGGAAAAAACTTTTACTAGTCTCTTGTTTGGGAAACAAGAGACTAGTAAAAGTTTTTCTAATACAAAGTGTAATCCAAAAGGCAACTAGTATTAATAGAAGTTTTTGAAGATGTTTTGCCTCTTGTTTGAAAGGTTTCTTCAGTTCAAAATAAAGAAGCATTCAACGCTTAGCCTATTGTTTTCAGGAAGTTCTATCAAGTTGAGTTGCTTTTAGAAACTAAACTTTGCATTAACAAGACCAGGATGACTGAGAACCTACATGGGCAGATTGTATAACTGTTGGAAATCCATGCATTGTGGTTGTGATTCTTTATGCACTTTCCAGCATACAGTGAAGTAAGCTTCTTAAGTGTTATTAGAGAGTTTGCACTAATTTCTAAATTGAGCCATTAACATGACTTTTGCTTCTTTAGATTTTGGTTTAGCTTTTTTCATTATATCTTTCAATGTTCCTTCAAGTTAACAAAAGACTCTATAAATGAGACTTTCAGTACTCATTCATACAAAACCAAAGGGAATCGCATTAAGTAAAGTGACTGGAGTGAATACCTCGCCTATAGGCCCTGTTAAAACTGAAAAAGAAACTTTAAAAAAAAGAAGAAAAAAAAGAGATACAACAGAGGAACTCAAATAAATGCAGGAATAGGTAATTTAGGAAATTAGAAAGAATCATATGTAACTTTGTCCATCATCATTAACACCTTAAATGAACCTTATATTCCTGGAAACTCAGTTCTAACCTTGCATGTTTTATGACTGCAGTGGGCTTCAGTCGTTGAGCATGCAATGCCCTGAGGTTCCAGGAAGACTTCTGCAGTTATCCCATTAAAGGGTTATCTCTCCTTTTGGCTGCCGCACGACTTAAAGATTAAGACAGTCGTTGCCTGAGGTTTCAGTCGGAACTCAGTGCTGCTAGTGATCCGTACGGACACAGTCTTCTCTGATCGAGTCCATATCACCGGCTCGCTGTAGGATTCTGGACAAAATCACACCTGTGGAGGAACAATGGGATCCAACTGCTCCAGCCTGGATGATATCCTGGAGGAGGATATGCACCACTGGTACACCAAATTCATGCGGGAGTCTCCATCAGGGCTCATCACGCTCTTCGAGCTCAAGACCATGTTGGAAATGAACGGTATGACAGAGGAGGCCCACAGCTATGTTGATCAAGTCTTCTTCACCTTTGACATGGATGGGGTAAGAAAACACAGATCTTGCATTTGCTGCCCAACATTTCGTTGCCTTAAAAGTGTGGCTCTGAAAACTTTCCAGACTGATGAGACAGTTGCATAAACATCCGCATGCTTAAATCAATCAGATCAGTTCTCCAGTGTCGCATACCAAACTTTACAGTGGTACGACTGTAATTGCATTGTTTCAAAAGCTTTATCGTGGAGAGTAACATTTAAAAGGACTGCTGAGAGATTAGACAGATCTGTGGCATTTTAACAGGGATTGACTGAGGTTAAACTCTTCTCTGCTATGTGAGTCTTTAACTCTTTCACAAATCTCAGAATGAAAAGCCATTTATTGCATATCAGAAGTACATGTTTAAAATATCTGCCATAGTTACCCAAGACCTGCATTACCTCTGAGCCTTCACATTAAATGATCAAATGCTAAATGATACAATTTCCTTTTTTAATTTTCAGAATAAATTGTTAGTAAGTGAAAGTGTTGGCAGAAAAGCAAATGTATCTGTATCACTTCTACTAACTACATTTTTCATGTGCTGTTTTGCAGGATGGCTACATAGACTTTGTGGAATACATTGCAGGCATAAGTTTATTACTGAAAGGAGAAATTAACCAGAAGCTAAAGTGGTACTTCAAGCTCTTTGATCAAGATGGAAACGGAAAAATCGACAAGGAGGAAATGGAGACCATATTTAAGGTGCGGTGAAAATCCTTTGGATGTTTCAAAACTACAGTTTCACCGAGCAGAGAAGCTGAGCAGCTCACCTGAATCACAAAGCTTAGCTGCTCTGCTCTCACCCTGCAGAAGTGGGTTTAGCTGGACATGAACTACACAACACCTAATCCAGGGGGCTTCTTATCTAAGCACAAATCTAAAATTGGCCTTGTTGGTAACCTTTCTCACGGAGAAAAGCAGACACGCAATAATCACCCTACAGATTACATGACATTTCACCTTGTCCCATTTATGACCTTTAGGTTAAAACACTTTCAACAATCCAGTCAGCAGGAGGTGTAGAAGAACCTGCATAAATCTGTATTTTCAAAAGATCACGCTTTACATTTACATCAACATTAACTGACTTCCTCTAGCAGCAGAATGGGTAAAGGCAAATAATTGGCCTTGGCAAGTTTTAATTAAACTCTGAATTAACTGTGTAAACTCTTCTTTCAGGCTATTCAAGATATCACCAGAAGTTATGAAATCCCCCCAGAAGAGATTGTGACTATTGTATACGAGAAGATTGACGTCAACGGAGAAGGTAAGGGATATTTTCTAGTCAATGGTATTGAGAATGCGTCATTTTTAAATAAAATACAGATGTCATTTTCATCTTTGTTTTTGCTTGTCTACTCAGGCGAGTTGACATTGGAGGAGTTCATCAGCGGAGCAAGGGATCATCCAGACATCATGGATATGCTTGCTAAGATGATGGATCTTACCACTGTCCTGGAAATCATAATCAGAGGTCAACAGAAAAAAAAGTGATAAACTGTAATCAACGAAGAAGGACTATGCGGACAATTTATATCATTTTTGGTGGATTTCAGAAGGCAGCGTGGTTGGAAAAAAATGAACTGTATGTGCTTGACTGACAAAGAGCCGAGTCCCATCTCAAACGGCACAGACTGAGCTGAATGAACTGACTGAACAGTCCCATGCAGATATAGATCTCTTTGTATGTCACCTGAGGGAAGCAAAGAATTCTCCCTTCTCCCTCTGCTTGTGCTGTCACTTTCTGGAACGATGACCCTTCAATGTTCCAATTAACAGGTGACGTGAGTGTAAAGTATCCATGAAAGGAGGTCGGTCTGCGCTCAAATACCCATCATGCTTTGAGTAGATTGCGCAGCAGAGTGGATAAATCACTTTGATTTACTTAATTAAGAGCTTATTGAGCCGGAAATTGATTTGGACTCTTGTTTGGCAGAGCTGTCAAGGACAATGGGAAAAGCGGAGTGGGTAACCTCTGCCCAAAGCATCTAGAACAGCTTCAAGTTTGTCTTTTATTGGTAAATGAATATATTTCAATTGATTAAATTCACAATTTCATTCTTGTCCACTACTGAAGACCAGTGTAAAACTCCTTGTGAGAACAAAACTCAAGCATCTTGTTAACTTCCTCTGCCATTAACCACATTATTACAGTAGCACTGAGATTGTTTGTTCTTTGTTCTGTGTTGTTGCTCTTGTAACATCTCCATGAAAAAAATCACTGCTGCTTGCATATAAACGGGTTCTTAAATGAATAGCCATGTAGTGACTGATAGAACACATTTTGGACTTGAAACGTTTCATTTTATGTTGCAGTAATTGAGGTTACAAAGTTGCCTTTAAATTGAATACAAAGTTGTTGTTTTCCATTTCCAAGTTTCCTTTCTTTTTTTAATTACCTCGATGATATATTACTCTGTAATTCTTCAGGCTTTTTTTTATTCAGATTGAATGAGTAAAAGTAATATAACAGGTTCTTAAAGTTGGACTAGTCTTTGGCTTTAGGTTTTCTCTGTTACCATGTTTACCAATGATCATGCCCAGCACACTTCAAAGAATAGTCAAGCCTGAGTTAGATCACAAATAGAAAAGTTATGTTACTGTGTTCATAGACCGATATGTCACATATAGCTTTTACGGGTTTTGTTATCTGTGGGTCTCTCAACAGCTGATGAACGCACAGTTGAAACCATTACCAGCTATAAGAGCTCAAGGCTGCCATCTTGTGAGCGACATATGATCTCACCCTGTGTTCAACGACATGTGAGATATTTTGGTGGTTATCAGCTTATTGTCCAATCAGAGAAACTCTGTTCTATTCTATTGTAAAGGATAAAGGGATCATAACTATTAGAGTTTATAAATCTACTCAGATTCATAACTTGGTCAGTAGTTTGACAAACTTTATTCCATTTAAATCAGAGGAATGATGATTTAAAACTTAAAGGCAAAGCCAATCCATGGTCTTAAAAACCACCATGATGTTTCAATCTGCAAATTAACTGCATTTTAATATATTTTAATTCCTACCTGAACTCAAGAGCAGCTATCTTAATTGACACAAGAATATTTTTTCTTTAAATGGCACGACAAATTGTGGTACTTGGCTCCTCTTCTGAGCTGATCTGCCAAAGGACAGAGTTTCTACAGAGTTTCTTCATTTTCATTTGTGCAGAAAATACCAGCTTGTCAAACACACGAGACAACCCTGTGATCAGCTGAGTCAAACCAGACCAGACAATTCCTCCCACCCCCCCACCCCCCCTCCCCCAAATCCACTGTGGCTGCCTTTATTTTATGATTATCTAAGGAGCATGGGAACACTTAAATTACCTGTCAGAATTATAATTCAGGTTCCTCTCATCGATGCAACAATGTGTGCAAAAAGTCAGCAGAAGAGCTGATAACCTGCAAATCCAAACAGAGCTCAGCTTGACTACACACTCAGGTTTTAAAGTCTTGTAGGGCTTGAATCTCCCATTTCTTGGCAAATGTTTGAATTAAATCAAACTGAATTGCTTCTTTACACCAAGGTCTGTCTAACATCACAGTCTGCTTGGGAAATGATTCAACTGAGGTTCATTATGATGCAAACTGGTCAGACATTATTATGAAATTGTAGAAGCTGGAGGTTGTGTAAATCAAATAAAGATAAGGGTTTGACTTCAAATAACACTCAAAGCTTTCCTAAATGTATCGGGTGACACAATGACGCAACAGCACCAACCCACCCATGCTCGTCTTATAAATTCACCAGTGTCTGCTCTCATGTCTCTGCACTGCACACTGCATACTGCTGCCCACTGTCAACCACCACAGCACAGCAACAGCATCCTCCACATCCAGCTGGAACCATGCAGTCTGCCGAGGCCAGATTTAACAAAAACAGCCTGTTCCTGGCTCTGAGAAAATACAGCTCGGCCGTCAGGGACATGGAGCAGACCATTCTCCTGCCAAGCCTGCTGCGAGACGTGCCCTCTGATGAGGTGTGGGATTGTGATGCAGCAGATGAGTCCTGCAGAGACTTATACGACCACTACCTGATGTTCAAGGCAGTCAGAACCACCGTGGAGAGCGGCTTGATTTCCATGGATGACCACAAGGCCAAGAAAAACATGACGCTGAACAAGACGCTGGAGCCTCTCTTGGACACGGACCCTGAAGCGCTCTTCTGCTTCCACCTGAGAGGACTGTTCTCTGTGATGAGTGACCTCAGCAAGAAGTCTCAGAGCCTTACTGAGAAATACATGGACATTATAGGAGTCACAAGATAAAAAACAAAATGAATATTTGGACATCAAGCTAAATCTCTGGTGTTGTTATTCATGTAACACAGTCATCTGCAAACGTCTTAAACTTGGTAACCCAATGCTCTTAACTTAAGGACGGAAGAATAAACATGCATTGCCAAAACTGATTCTCAAATTGTCTCTTCATTTGAATATAGTAATGTATCCATGGAAACTATTGTTTAAAACACTGAAAAAGTTATGTAACACATATATCAACTCAAACAGTATTATAGAGAACCAGGTTTTATTATTATTAATAATAATAATAATAATAGTAATAATAATAAAACTAAATTAGATTTATATAGTGATTTTCTAAATTCTCAAAGGTGCTTTGACAGGTAACAGCAGAAAAACTAAGCAAAAACTAAGAGGACAATACAACAGAGACTGTAAAGGGAGTTTAGGGATTTCTTGGAGTGTGGGGGAGTCTCCAGTGTTTTTAGGGAGAGAGTTCCAGACGGTGGGAGTGGCAATGGAGAAGGCCCTGTACCCCCCCAGGTCAGAAGGTTGGTCCTGCAGGTGGGGTGGACAGGAGGTTTGCATCGGCAGACCTGAGAGTGCGGGTGGGAGTGTGCTGGTGGAGGAGCTCAGACAGGTGGGGGGGGGGGGGGATCAAGGTTATGTACTGTAGGGCTTTGTAGGTGAGGATGAGGAGTTTGAACTGGATACGCTGGGGGTTGAGGAGCCAGTGGAGGTCATGACAGACGAGGGTGATGTGGTCTTGAGTGCGGGAGTGTGTGAGAAGTCGAGCAGTGGAGTTCTGGATGTATTGAAGCTTCTTGAGTGTTTTGGACGGTGAACCGTAGAGGAGGCTGTTGCTGTCTAATCTGGAGGTGATGAATGCGTGAGTGAGGGTCTCGGCAGCTGAAAATGAGAGGGATGGGCGGAGGCAGACAAAGTTTCTGAGGTGGAAAAAGACTGTTTTGGTGATTTGTTTGACGTGTTTGTCGAAGGACAGGGTTTGGTCGAAGATCACACTAAGGTTACGGATGTGGGGGGGAAGGGAGCGCTGTGGAGCCATCGATGGTGAGGGAGAAATTGTTGGTGGATTTGATAATGGATTTGGGGCCGATGATAATGACTTCTGATTTGTCCCAGTTGAGTTTGAGAAAGTTGATTTTAGTTATTAGGGAAAATACAAAAAGAAAATGTTGAATTTTGGTATCTTTTTATTTACATAGTTATATTCCACACAATCAATGACAGAAGATTTGACAAAATAAAGACTACACAGGACCGATGGTAGTCTTCAGATGATGTCCCTCTCCCACTCACATTTAGCGTATTGGATGGAAAGGTTCAACAATCTCTGCAAAGGTCTTTTTTTCTGGTGAAATCAAAGAGAGACAGAGCGATATTTTATTTCATACATAAGTCACCATGTTTGTGATTTCTCTGTGAGACTTTTGTAGACTAAACACAAAGAGATAAGATCATCAACTACTCAGCATAGAGCATGCCCTCATATTGAATATGATTTGAGTTTCTGGTTTGTTAACAGTCAGTAATTCTTATTTAATCTATATTATGTGATTGTGAAGATTGCATGTTTTTGTAAAAATAAGTAGACAAATAACCGCACTGTTCAGGTGAATGAACAAATCAATACTAAACATTTGAGCAAAATCAGTCAGTGAAGGAATTTCCTAAACTGCACAAAAAGGTGGATGCAGTGATCACTGTCCATCCTCAGATTTCAAGAATTTGTGAACTGCTAATGCAGAGGAGGGAATAAGAATGAAGGAACGTATATCAAACATTATACATCAGGTCAGTTGTATTTGGAGGTCCTTGTGGCATTCTGATACAGCAACAATTCACTTACCATTTCCTGCAAACTCCTCTGGATGCAGTCTGATATACTCGCTCATATCTAGATCAAGTTTGGCGTAGGTATAGTTTTCTTTTTTTGTGATGTGGTAGCCGATGAACCAACCAATTGTTGCCAGCAGGAACTGCCGATGGAGGCCTAAAAGAGAGCAACAGGTCATGTGATATCAAACATTTTAAGAACATGACAACTCTATACAGTTTTTGTACTGGAACAACAGACTTCAGGATGTTTATGCATTAATGTATTCAGAATCAGAATCAGCTTTATTGGCCAGGTATGCTTACACACACACAAGGAATTAAACTTTGGTGGACTGTGCTCTCTTATGTACAAATATAACATTAAATAACAATAAACACAATAAGGTTAAGACTTGTGTGTACAAAACTAAACAGAAACAGTGCATGCTGAAGCAACATGATAATAAAAAATGCAGTTATATGACAGATGGGTTAATTTAAGTACACAACTGGATAAAACAAATGACCATAGCATCACAAGACTTTCTGATTACGTTTTAATTAAAAGGTCAAAGTCAACTTTATTGTCAATTTAAAAATATGCCAGACAAACAGTGGAATCGAAATTGCGTTTGTCTCCGTCCCACGGTGCAATACAACCAAAATAAGATAAAATAAAATAAGGTAAAATAAGATAAAATAAAATAAGGTAAAATAGATCAAATAAAATAAAGTAAAATAGATCAAATAAAATAAGGTAAAATAAGATAAAACAAAATAAGGTAAAATAGATAAAATAAAATAAGGTAAAATAGATCAAATAAAATAAGGTAAAATAAGATAAAACAAAATAAGGTAAAATAGATCAAATAAAATAAGGTAAAATAGATCAAATAAAATAAGGTAAAATAAGATAAAATAAAATAAATAATATTTACAGTAATAAATTCTAAATAGTGAAAAAGGTACAAAACAAAATGGTAAATAAAATAAAATTTAAAGAAAAGGTAAACTTGAAATGTGCAATATAACGCTTGAATATAAAATAAGTAACATAATACAGAAATGTTTTGGGTATGTTATGTTAGCTACTACGCTGCTACTAACTGAATCACACAGTTAACTCTTAAAATTAATAAAACAATTACCTAATAACTAGTTTGCAATAAGGTTTCTAGTATGAGAGATTAGATAGCAAAGAGGCTTCTGTAGAAAGTGTAACAACAACACAGTAGACAGTATACATGCTGACCTGACTTTAAGGGCGGCCTGTGGTTAATGGCATTCTGCAGCAGCGCGGTGCACCAGCCGACACCGGACAGCCACACCGAGTTCCTGTTGACGATACCCGGAGGAGGGAGAGCCTTCCCCTCGTCTGGTATGAACCACATGGCGAGAAATTCACTCTTAAAATGTAGAAATTTAAGTGACCTCCTTAGCTGCCTGTGATTACTCCTCCACTACTATCACCTCTCGAAGGAAGTCAAGGGCATGTGCGCAACCGAAATGAAACGTCCGGGCACTACACACGACAACAGCAATCAGTTCCGCTTTTCATGTTTCCCTAGCAACCAACGCCCGCAATATAAAACTTAACGCGATAAATACAGTTAATTTAGGAGAAATAATAATAATAATAATAATAATAATCATACATTTTATTTGTAACGCACTTTTTGCAAAAAAATCTCAAAGTGCTACAGGAAAAAAAATAAAAATAATAATAATAATAATAAAATAAAATAAAATAGAAATAACTGTAACTGTAATAATAATAATAATAATAATAATACGTTTAATTTGTAACGCACTTTACCTTTTTGCAAAAAAAATCTCAAAGTGCTACAGGAAAAAAATAAAAAATAAAAAATAAAAAATAAAAAATAAAATAAAATATAATAAAATAAAATAAAATAAAATAAAATAAAATAAAATAAAATAAAATAAAATAGAAATAACTGTAACTGTAATAATAATAATAATAATAATAATAATAATACGTTTAATTTGTAACACACTTTACCTTTTTGCAAAAAAATCTCAAAGTGCTACAGGAAAAAAAAAATACAAAATAAATAAAATAACATAAAATAAAATAGAAAATAACTGTAACTGTAATAATAATAATAATAATAATAATAATAATAATAATAATAATAATAATAATAATAATAATAATAATACATTTAATTTGTAAAGCACTTTACCTTTTTGCAAATAAAATCTCAAAGTGCTACAGGAAAAAAAATACAAAAATAAAATAAAATAAAACAAAATAGAAACAACTGTGATTTAACCGTATAAATATACAACATAAACGCAACACTCTCATCTACACACGTTTAATGAATATCAACCGCTACAGTAGTGGTTAGTCCGTGGGTTATTCATTTCAGTGTCTGTGTAACACTGAAGTTGCAGCTACTTGATTGTTTATACTGAGTTACTTTGCATGTGAACTGATGACATCATTGAAAGCAGTCCTCCTCCTCCTCCTCCTCCTCCTCCTCCTCCTCTATCAGACAGGCTGCTGCTGCTGCTGCTGCTGAGGAAACACAGTCAGAGGAATTATGCCCTGCCCATCGGTGGCTTTGCCTGTTTCATGAGGTGACCTATGCATACCAAGTGGTTGTAAGTCCGGGGATATCCCCCGTGTTTTTTGGTAAGTGCAAACTATTTTCATGCTCGATGCGCAGAGCTGCTTTGATTTTATCTCTTACATCTGCAGATAGTTGCAAAATGGCCAGAGTCACACGGTAGCTGCTGGTTGCTACTGTTGCTAGCTTCGCCCTAAATGGCTTTCACCCCAGACAGACTGGAGGCATTGTTAAAAAAAAAAGAAAAGAAAAAAGGAGAAGACAATAAAATGTAGGCTACCACAAACTGTGATTAAAATCTGTTGCAGAATGTGAAAATGTTGATTTTTGCGGTGCAGGATTAAAGATGAAGGCGAAGGAAATGCGACACAGGGAGGATTTCATTGATATTCTATCGATTTCTGCAGAATAAATCCCTGCAACATGATTGGATCAAGAATAGAATCCAAAGATTATAACGTTGTCTTTTACGCAACAGATGGATTTTCTATCAAATCTGAGATATTTGTTTTTTTTTCCCCTGCACGCAGAGGCCTCAGTCACAGAGCAGATGTAACGGGACTGCAGAGAAAACTAAAATTACATCTTTAACATCTCTTGTTTACATGCATTAAACACAACACTGCTGTGTGTATGCATCAACATAAAACCCATAACAAACAACAACTTTGTGCTTCATTGTGTATGGTAATAAATGTAACAATATGTCGAGCGTCTCCAGCATGATTCAATTATCCCTCAAAAGGGATGCACGGCCCCTTCCATCTGCACTGAGCCAAAAATAATTCAAGTCTCTCCCTGTGCTCCCATCAAATGCTTTAAAATATGGTAGAAACAAAATCCGGTGGAGAAATGAAACAGAATCATTCACTGTGTAACTATTTTTTGTGTTCAGAGTTCATCATCATCAACCTTTATTTAAGTTGTCAGAGAGATCATTAAGGGTGACCCTCATCTACAATGATGCCCAGAAAACATAAATGATAAACAACGAGAAATGAGATAAAGCTGCTACAGAAAATAAAATCAATAAGAAGAATAAAATATAAACACTAAAATGATTTAAAAAGCTTGAAATTACTACAGTGATAAGTCAGTAATTAAAATCAAATAAAAACAGTTACAGTCAGGTATTGGGCGCTTAAAAATAATATTTCTAAAGTGTCCATAAGGGATAAAAGTGCTCAAGTTCAGGTCCTGTTGTAAAATGTTCCAGGAGTTTGCGGCACTAACACTAAAAGCAGTTTTCCCCAGGTCAGTCCTGGCGAGGGGAACCTGGAGAAACTGTGGCCAGTGTAAGAGACGTTCATGAGGCATGGGGAACTAAATCAGTTTAATAAAATCAGTATCATCAGCACACCAAATATGGAGACTGTGTTACACAATTTTTTCTTTGAGTAAGCGGTTTCTAAAAATTTCAGCGCTGTCAGTGTTTTTTTTATGCAAACGAGCCACGTCTAAACTCCAGTAAACACCCCTAACATCTAAACCACATCATACTGAAAGTGATGATTATTCAGGTTCATGTCAGCTGTGATTGCTCCTGCGTTTTGCCCGTGTGACATGCATGTATTTAACACTCTTTTCTTTTGTTCTTTTTCACAGTTTAGCATGAGCATGGAAGATTATGACTACCTGTTCAAAATAGTACTGATAGGAAATGCCGGAGTTGGGAAGACATGTCTGGTCCGGCGCTTTACTCAGGTTTGACTGCATTTGATCATATATACGTTTTGAGTCCTTGAATCAGAGTATTAGAATATTATTAGTTATATTTCTGTGGTTGTTGTTTTAGGGCCTTTTCCCTCCAGGACAAGGGGCTACTATTGGAGTCGATTTCATGATTAAAACGGTGGAAATCAAAGGGGAGAAGGTCAAGGTAAGCAAAGTCTCAAAATACTTTCCAAACGACAAACAATGGCTTCTTGTTTTGCATTAATTCTGAATCCAAGCTGCTCGTTTTAAATACATTTTTGTTCTCCAGCTGCAGATATGGGACACAGCTGGACAGGAGAGATTTCGCTCCATTACTCAGAGTTATTACCGCAGTGCCAATGCCCTCATTCTTACGTATGACATTACCTGTGAGGACTCCTTCAGGTGCCTTCCAGAGTGGCTGAGGGAGATCGAGCAGTATGCCAACAACCAGGTGGTGACTATATTAGTCGGTAAGACGCTTTACTTTGTACTTTAATAACTGGAAGAGCTCTTATAACATGAGGCTTATTGTTCATTGTGACAAAAACTGTGTGCACAACATTTTACTGGAACTGGCCTTGTTTTCCAAGCCCAATTGAATGTGAGCGTGAAGAAACAAGATGATGTCAGAAAACAGTTTGAAGTGAAGAGATTTACAAAAGACAAAGCTTCTTTTGTCTTATGGAAACCTTCTTTTGTCGGATTTTTAAAGAAAGTTCTTTTTTGGTGAATACAAATGTAAAAGACGGACAACTACACATACTTTTGCTGAATCAATGTTATATTTGTTCCAGGTAATAAAATAGATCTGGCAGAAAAGAGGGAGGTTCTCAGACAGAGGGCTGAAGACTTTGCCGAGTCTCAGAGCATGCTGTACCTGGAGACCTCAGCCAAAGAATCCGACAACGTCGAGAAACTTTTCCTTGACCTGGCCTGCGAACTCATCCGAGAAGCCAAGCAGAACAAGCTGGATAACAATGACACTGCCCCGATGCTCGGCGAGGGTAAAACCATCAGTTATTTGACTTGCTGCAGCATCAATTAAAAAAAGAGTTGAGCCTTGTGGCCGTGGTAACTCAGTAGCCATTGACTGAAGAGGGCAGATGGCTGAATCACAATGCCTCCGTCCCTCCAAGATGGCAGAAAGCCACTTTTACTCCGTCATTTCTAGATCCATGCCTTTTTAAGCTGTACAAGGGAGATAGTCAACTTTAGTTTGGCCTTCCAGGACAAACATTTTAAGATTCTGTCATCATGGAGAAAATTTTCCTCAATGCTACTACATAAAAAGTACGTCTGAAAATACATCCAGGAATCTGAGTAGGGCTCCATTTCATCATCTTCATGGTGGAATGGCAGTTTTTTTTTGTTCGGGTTTTCCATTTCCATTAAACACCAATGTTCACCAGCAGTGTTACGTGAGTAAAAGGTCAACCAGGTATTTTGTTACAGATTCCACATAACTAACATCAGGTGTCATGATCATAGGAGGTTATCTGTGAATGATAACTATGTTTACATACAGTAGGTTTTGGAGAAAAAAAATCTGACCAATTTGCAAAAATAGTTTTGCAAATTTAGGATGAAATCTGTTGCACAATCACTTTTTCCCCCACTAGTTTCTTTTGCTCTGATTATTGCATTTTAAATAGTTTTGGTAATTTCATTCTGGGTCGTTTTTTATGCACCTGTTCATTGCAAACTGTGAAACACGTGTTCCCATTGGAATTATTTGAATTGCTGCTAAAATGTTTTACTTTCAATAACATAAACTGAAACACAAGTGTAAACGCTACGTTGAAACAGTATTCTGTGGCTCCATAACATTCCTGCAGTGTGACTAGTCAGTCGATATAGTGTGAAGAAGCTGGAAAGGCTATTGTCAGTCATCAGTAGAAATGGTAAACAGTTTCATCAGTTGACTTTTTTTGTTTTTTGACTGTCAGCTTTTTATTTTATATCCATAGACGTGAGTATTTCTGCCTTTGTTGTTGCTGCCTAGCCATGAAATTGTATCACTTTTAATTTGTTCAAAGGAGTATGTTCATGTAGCTCTGTACTTGTTGTTCTTCATATGCTTTTATTGTGAAAGTTTTGATTGTCCAGCATGTTTTATTTTAATTTGTAGTGTCTAACTTTTTGTTTCTTAAATTTGCCATAACTGTAATGTACTTTATTGCACAATGCCATTTACTGCACACTTATTTTATTGTAACATTTTTTTTTTTTGTTGTACAGACATGTAGTACATCCTGGCACTTTGCTTTTTATGCATTTAATTTGCAGTAATATCTTTGTACGGCTGGGGAGAATTTTTGTTTTGCCTTTAACCTTAGATTTAACAGCATTTATTTTAAATTATTTTCATGTTTTTGTCAGCGCAATATGAAAAATACAAAAGAAACAAGATTGTGCTTCTTTTCCTTTCTGTGTACAAAATAATCCCTGATAATGACTCTGTATAACATTAAATAACAACACTAAAAGTCTTGTTTTTTGTCTTTTCATTTCAGAAATTTAAAAATCTGCAAATTGCTGATTACTTTCTGTATTTTTTTCCCCATACGAATGTTTACATTTAGTCCTCTTGCCAGCAGCGTTTTAACAAATATTCAAAATGTATTAAGTCACCATCTTGGTCCGTTTGTAGTTTTATTATGAAATGTGTACCGGAAGTATATCCATATCTATATTGACGCGACTTGACTAATCTGAAACTGTAGTTACTTCTTGCGACCACTAGACGGCAGGACACTGGGGCGTGGATAAAATAGATTTTCTCTCTCCTTATATCAAAATAATCAAGACAAAGAAAACGGTGACACACTGCTTTAGTAAATAATCCGTTTTGAGATGATTATCTGTTTGAAAAGACTCCAAAATATTAAAGATAACAAGTGGAAAGCGAAGGTTTGGCAGCAGATATAGTCGCCCTAATATAAAATACAGCGTTTGCCGCCATCTAGCGGCCACTTTTGGTACAGCAAAGTGTATATAAAGTTAGCGTCAATCCATCATAAAATACACAACTTCCGGAAAATATTTCAGAATAAAATTAAATATGGAGCTATCTGCACTCTGACCCCTAGATGGCACACGGTGACTACAAATCCACAGCCTTCAAAAGAGATACAAATTCCTTTTACTGTTTACATTAAGAGTTAGAAATATTCATTATTCTTATTTAAAACTTTGATTGAGTCCATTAATTCTTTACAAATGTTATACATTTATTTGTAAAATCCAAAGTATAGTGCAGGGCTTTAAATTGTCTGATGCCAAAGAATACACTATAAATATAGAGGCTACTTTTTACCTTCTCGAATTGTTCAATGACACTTTAATGTCACATTTTAGCAAAACTCAGGACAGTTCAGGTGAGCACGATAGCCACCTGTTTCTCTGAGTCTATGCTGGCATATTGAATATATAACAGGTGCTGCCCTCTTGTGGTCACAAGAAGTAACTGCAGAAACAGATGAGTAAAGTAACGTCAATGCACATATCAAAATACTTCCCGGAAACATTTCATAATAAATCTATGTCGAACTCAAAAAGGAAGCATATTATCCCAATATAGTTTTTATGTGTGATTGATTCCCATACTGTCTTAAAATCATGAAAAAAAAACCAAGTAAAATAAGTAACTGCTGTCAAATCTCAGGTAAAGTGGAAAACAATGCTAGTTGTACAAAAAGATGAATTTATATTAAATGTATAAAACTAACCAGGGTAGGGTGCACTACATGTCTACACAACAAAACAAGAAATGTAACAATAAATTAAGTGTGCATTTAAAGGCATTGTGCAGTTGCAGTTGTAGTAAACACTTGCATTTCCGTTTAGGACTTTCGTAATAAAACCAACACATTAGGAACAAGTATAACTTGACTTACATGGGATTTTACGCCCAAAGTGACACACAAAGCCTTGTTATCTAATGGTGCACAGGTAGGGTCCAATGCTTGTTAAAGGTGTCTTTGATCTATAAATACGGTACGTCTCCTTTAAGAGACTGATTCTTTGTAGCCTACAATTCATTTGATTCACACGTGAAACTCAGACTCCCGTCGACCATTGCGAGCTTATTTACAGATTGAACCATCTGTTCTCTGCTGCTGGTTGTCAGCCGGTTGTGGTGAAAAACTAAAGTTGTAAAAGTGTTGAAAAAGTCGTTGAAGCTCGTGTGTTTTATTTGCAGCAGCGGGCTGCTCAGGCTCTGACACAACACCTCTGTGGATCTGCTGACAGGCGAGTCTCACTTCCTCTCTCTGACGGGACAGGTCTGCTCTTCCCGGCGCTGCCAGGAAAGATCATGCGACCTGATTATTTGGAGAGCAGTCTGCCGTGAGCTGTGTGTGTGTGACAGTAGCAGCTGGAGTCAGGATGGAGGTTTTGAACAGAGCTGCAGCTTCCTGCATCCTGACGCTGTGTTTCGCCTGTTTGCACGTGATTGCCCTCAAATCACAACTTTTGACCAGGCACGGTGGGTTACCTTTCTCCACTGAGCCCCCCATCACTTATGAGACGTTTTATTTTGATCAGAAGGTGAGTGTGCCTTCCATTTTTTAAGATGATGAAACTGCTGTTGATGCATGTGGCTTCTTTCTCTTTCACTTCAATTTTAAATGTTTGAATTCTGTTGTAGTGATGAAGTTGATCTGTGATTCAAATATTTGTCCCAAAGCATCTTCTTAGCTACAATATGAAAGTACAATTAGTGTTATCTGGCTGGTGTAACACTAGGATCTTTTAGAAAAACAAAAAATAAAGTAATGTCTTCTGAACATATGAGAGAGTTTCCTGGCTTTTTACAATTCACTGTTCACTTCTCTCTTCATGCACTTTCTAAAATGTTCAATGCACTTAACCCTGAAGTTGTTGGTGTGTTGTGTCTGATGTTTCCGCCCGGGCTTCCTGTAGTGAAGGGGAAACTATCACAGTTGGCTCTGTTCCTACCAGCAGTAGCTGTTCCTCCTGGCTCTCAGCCTAAAAGGGTCTCCAGGGCCCAGTGAATGTGAAACACTCAGGGGGGTTTGAGAGATCTTCATTCAGCCTTTTACATTTCCCATTTTCTGTTACTTCAGGGAGCATCATATTGCACTTTGAGAGTGTGCGGTGGTTTGCAACGCAGCGTCACGCTTGGTGACTTGTGAAGCTGACTCATGCAGTCACAGGACTGAGCTTGTGTCTTTATTATTACTCTCCTGTTAGTGATGTCACAGATGGTGAGGTAAACATTACACAGTGTAATCATTTAGGCTACTACTAACAGAGAGTAAGTGGAGGTTACTGTACGCCCTTAATCGTTTACTGAACATTTACTTAGCAGTTTCAGTTCCTTTCTGCTCTCCTCCCACATTAACTGAAAACAGAAATGAAAGTCTTAAAACTAAGTTCATGATGGTGTAATGTCATCACAGGCTACAGTTTAACCCTTTTGTAGTCCTGCCTCTGAATGTGCTTCACATAGAAGGCATGGTAACAGAGACTGAAACATATTGAATGATCTGTAAATCCAGACATCACAACATCATTCTGTATAAATTAGACAGTCTATATGCACAGCGGGATCCTTGTGTGAAAACTTTGGAAAAGAAAAAACACAGAACATGAAAAACATTAATGCATGTGAAAGCATTAATAAGGTATAAAGATTAAAATGTTTGTATTAGCCGATCAGAACTGAGAAGTCAATTATAAGATGATTCATCATATTCGCTCCTTGCTAAGCAATTCATTATTCAAGTTATTGTTTTTAAACGTGCATGAAAAATGTTTGCGGTTTCAAATCCTCAAATACTCCACCTTATCTTACTTTTAGTACATTCTGAATTTAGTTGTTCTGTACTGAACAACGGTGATGTCAACTTTGCCTCGAAGAAACTGTGCATTTGTTCAATTTATTTCACTTTATTTAAGCAGGAAAGAAAACTCGTTGAGATTTAAAAATCTCTTTTTCAAGAGTCTCCTGACCGGGACAGGCAGCAGCACAATTTACAGAGTTTCAGCTTTATTCTTTTACCAGCTGCTGAATGTGAAGGTGTAAATGTAGAGACTCATCAATTAAAACATTAAGATATCTGTCGCTCCAAACAGACTCAACCTGTGTACCGTGAGAGGTGGAGATTGAAGAGAGATAAGGTTTAGATTCAGCATCAGAAAACATCAGGACTTTGGTTTTGTCTGCGTTTTAAAACAACATTTTTAAATCTTCAAAGTTTTGTTGAAGAGTGTTGAAAGCAAGTTGTAACATGTGAGAGAGCTCGGTGTAGAGTCAGTCTCACTGTTTTCAATCTGTTCATGAAATAAAAATCCACCACCTTTAAAGTCTTATAGAACTAACTGTTAATATTGTGTGTGTGCTCTAAACTGTGTTTGGATTAAGGGACAATGCTCCACACCTGGTCCAACCCACGGCTTCCTGACTAATCAGCCACACTGACATCAAGATAAAGACCATTTCCTCTTTTCTGACGCCCATTGTCTTGTCTTGTTTTTAAAAAAAAATCTGTTCAATAAGAAGCTACGATATTCTTCTTAAAAATATATCAAATAAAATCCCGGTCATCCACTTCTCTTTACCAACAAGTCAGCAGATTTTATACTTTAAAAAAAAGATCACTCATGCAGCGTTTTTTTTGTGTCTCTCTTTTGGGACGAGCTGCTGTGAGGAGAGCACCAAGTGATCTTCCAGTCGACCTGAGGAAATCCTCTCGACTGCTTTTTGCCTCCAGACAATGAATGGAAGTGTCTGTTGTTAGCATCCTCCAAATTTACTGCCGGCACTTACTGAAGTTTTTTTTTTTTTGTTACCCCCTCATGTGTCTGTTTGCTGGACTGTAACACATGAGATAATCTCTCTCTCTCTCTCTCTCTCTCTCTCTCTCTTCAGTAGGCGTAAATAATTTTTAATTAAAGCTAACTCCTCCATGCCTGCAACAACCACAAGGTGGCATCACAGCTCAGGGTGTGGATTTGTTATGAAACCAATCTTGTAGGCTGTGTGATGTGCATACTGAGTGGTATGATACAGTACTCACCGGTGGTCCTTCTGGGGAAGTACTTTATATATTCAGCCACTTTATTTTGGCCATTTGGATTATAGAGTGTGGGAATTTGTTGATATTGCAAAATATTGTGACTTTTCAAATCCAGATTCTTCTATTTTACAACCCTAGTCTAAATAACTAAAAGCACACAAATCAAACAATGCACTTCACGTTTACTTTGAAATAACGCTTACTCAACACTTTGTTCAAAAAGTATAACTTTGTCCTTTGCATGACCATCGCATCACGCCTGTCACTTATTCTGCAGCCAAACTTCAGAGCTTTCCCATAAAGGCTCTCATGGTTCACTCACACTTAAAAACTCTGCCAAATGCTTACGAGCGGAGGCTTGAATAAACACATTGAGGGCCCCAGAATCTTTTTGCTGTCATTGGCTCATAAAATTGCTGCCTCCTTTGTCTCCACCGAGGAGGGAAGT